GGCGCAGCGCGAAAACGGCCCGGTGCGAAAACGTCCTGGCACGGCGCGAAAACGGCCCAGCACGGCGCGGTGCGGCACGAAAACAGCCCGGCGCGGCGCGAAAACGGCCGCGGACCACGCGGCAGGACCGGAAAAACAGCCGTGGACCACGTGGCATGGGCGGAAAAATGGCCGCGGACCACATGGCACGGGCAGAAAATGGCCACGGACCACGTGGCACGGGCGGAAAATGGCCACGGACCACGTGTCACGGTGGAAAATGGCCGCCGATCCGATTCGTATCCCGAGGCGGCGTTCGCAAACCGAGGTAAATTTTTGGGGCCGGAGCTGGTCGTAACCCGAAAAATTCGCAAGCAGAGGCGTTTATATCCCGAGGTATCACTGTAATATGGTGAGTCTCAGAATCTGTTACCTACCATGATTATTGGTGAGATAGTGTGGGTATATTGTCTTCCAAAATTTTCCCTGCAGCATCACAAAAATCCACAACCTGCAGCTTTGCAAAGCGGTGCCCTGCCCACTGATACACATGCACACATGCAATCATATTGCCTCTCAGGATTCCAGTCCCTGCAGGGGGGGGAGAACTAGTCCTCTTTCACCAACAATAGAATTTAAGGATTTTTTTAAAGCATATGTTTGGCAAGTCACGTTACTACTGCATATTAGTGGCAATATACTTTTACCAAAACAAAAAATCCTTAAATTCTGTATAATTCAGGAATAGGCCATTCATGGGTGGCATGTGGCCCCCCAAAGCACTCTCAAATAGCATTGTCTTAACTCAGAAACTCAATGATGTATTGGGTTTATTTACAAAACAGCCAAAGGCTGATAGATAGACAGACACACACAGACACATGCACACAGGTAGCCGTTGATTAACAACAGCAATTGGGACCGGAATTTCCATTGCTAAGTGTGGTGGTTGTAAAACATGACTGCACACTTAGTGACAGCAATCCCAGCAGTCCCTGTTGCTGTCATTAAGCAAGCACCTCCTTGCAACTTCCTGCTGGCTTCTAACAACCAAAGTCAATGGGGAAGCTGGCAGGAAGCTCCAAGTCCCAGGTGGCTCACAAGCAGGCTGGCAGGCAGGGTAAGTGGCTGCTGCCAGGTGGAGGAGGGGTGTGGGCAGCTGCAGTGGTGCACGGAGTGATTTCAGGCCTGGGGATGGCTGCTGCCAGGTGAGGTAGACTTACCAGAGCAACTTGCGACCTTCCCTGCCAGCTTCCCTGTTGATCTTGCTTGTGGCGAGTCAGCAGGAAGTTCCCAAATGGTCATCCTATGACCGTGGGGCACTGCCACGGTTGTAAGCATGAACCAGTTGCAAGTGCTCAGATTGCAACCACGTGATCGCAGGGTGGTGCGACGGTTGGAACTTCAAGTACCAATCGTACATACCACTCGTTCAGCACCGCTGCAACTCTGAACGGTCACTGAATGAGTGGTAGCTAAGCGAGGACTCCCTGCATATACATACAGCAGGCAACCACTTCCTGTGCTTCTTGCATCTGTGGTCCAAGCCTCAAGTGTATGTTCCCGGCATTTTACAGCAAAAGAAAAGATAACAGCTCCAATTCTTCACAAGTGCAGCCAGTCCCTTCTAAATGACTGGGCCTTAATGAACAACAGGAGCGAATATCTCTCACCCTTTTGTGAATGGTTCGTACACTGCAGCATGACTTCCAACAATTATTGTAACATATAATGTTGAAAGACTGCCTCAAGTTGTCCTGCCCTTAACACAGCTTTGGGAATTGGCTTTTGTAATTTCTTGGAAATCTCCATTCATAACACACATTTCCTAAGATCGATTTGGCATCTACAATTGTCTAAGTTGATACTACAGAATTAGGAGTCCCCAATATACAATCAAACAGTACAAATGGATTTGAAAAGTCGCAGCAGCCTTAATAAACCTGGACTAAAAACTAAACAAACCAATCTGTTAGTCAGGGAGCAATTCCCAAGAAACATGTCCCAAGCAATACGGTGGACTCTCACTAATTTTTCAGAAATCAACTTCTGGATTAAATTTAAAAATGAAGAGCCAACATTATTGGAGAAGATGTTTTGTTCTTACAAATTGTCACGTAGAGCTTGTTTAACAAAGCCAGAAATGCCAATTTCAGGCCAAAAATAACTGTGAGGCAGTAATTCTGGGAATCAAGCAAAAGCTATTGTGCCAGAAATCTTAACTTTTTTTTCTCCCCAGCCTAAGCTGAACAAACATTCCTTTTGTTTCAAGAAACAGATCCCAGTGTGATATCCATTCATGTGCTATTCCATATTTGGATGGTCCTTACCTAGAAGCCTGCAAAAGACAGGTGTATCAGCTAGCTTGGAGTAGAGCAACCACCGTCACTGATCCCACTGAGTTCAGCATGGGGTTTTCCTCCCCGATACTCCATTCTGGAGGTCCTTTACAGTGGCCCCAATGCTCTGTTCCTCCCCCTGGGAGGAGACAGAGGATCAGGACCAGTCCCAGCCCAGCCCACATGGCTGGATGCCTGCAAAGCAGAGAAACAAGTTAAGAAAGAAAACTTAGGACTAGAAAGCATCACACCGACTGCCCTATGCCCAATGCCTTTGGAACAGCAGCACCAACAGATTCTGAAAACATGGGGCACCTCTCCTCTAAAATTGTTTGATACAAATTAAAGCTACACCAAACAACCAATTCATTTGCATTAAATGTAAGCCCATACAAGAATGCTAAGTGTCCAAGCATTTCCTATTTGTAAATAATTACCTTTTTTTTCTACTGAAATACATCTACCATGTGGAGAAGAATATGTTTTTACCTATAAAAAGCAGGGTATTTTTTTTTCAAATTATTCATACATAAATTGTAAAATTTCACATTTCTTGGTTACTAAGCCCATGGAAAGTGACAAGTTACCAATAGCTCAGGGCTGAACTGTGG